CCAAAACAATTGAAGACCCTTTATGAGTTATTGCCTTGTAGTTACTATGATTGCAAAACCTGATACATTTCATTTGCTTGCAAAACATGATCATATATTTGTGTAGCAAATACCGTAACATATTTGACAAGTTATTTAATTGTTGCTGTTGCTGTTTTGGACTGTACTTGATAAGGTTGCTAAGGGGCTAACTACCACATTACCAGATTTTCTGTACATAGTAACTACAAGGCAATAACTCATAAAGGGTCTTCAATTGTTTTGGTCACTACAAAACAGCCCTGTCTAACCAGACTATTACACGATGTACATAACCAAACTGAAATTAAGTGATGTTTAGTTGAATGGATAGCTACAATTCTAAAGCATATTTAAAGTTAATTGTGAACAGGCCCATTTTGGCACAGTCAACAAAATTTGGTTTAGTATGATCTAAAACTATACTTTTAACTATACTTTCATTTAATTTCCATCTTCTTTGTGACCTTAGATACATCTTACATCTTTATCACATGGGCCTATTTTGCAACGAATAATCCTTTCTTCCTAGTTATCATAAATTCTGAAGATAATTCTGAAGTTTAAAGAAAATTATTAGGTATGTTTGTAGATTCTATCAAATTTACACTCCAGTTATGACCAAACCCTGAGGTAACAATAACCCTGTTATAAAATTGTGCATTTCAGAACTCAGGCATAATACTAGGCATAGTGATTAGGGAAAGACTATTCTCTATTTTAAAAAATCTTGTAAACTCCAGGTTTTCATACACTAGCTCTTTGAACTGATATTAATAAAGAACTTCAGAGCAAAGAATCTAAGCTTGACATCCCATTCCTAGACAGGAAGCTTTCCCCCCAATGACTAACAAAAACTCTAAACAATAAGATACAGAATGGGTTTGCAGCTCATTCTAGTAGGGAAAAAAAGCTTCCCTACTGAGCAAAGAGGCTCTGTTTTAAGTTTTTATTTGAATTCTGGGGCAAGCAATGAATTTAACTTTGTGACTAAGACCTTGTCTAGCTTTCTCTTTAGTCTGAGATTCATATCATTAAAAAAAGGTCTACAACCACAACTGTATAAATAGCACCCTGAGAAAAGGTTAGTCTTGGCTTTCTCTTAGATGTGAGCTTATTTTTAAAACAAAAACCTACATTCAACATCTCTTTTGCATGTGCAGGTATAAAATCTGAAGAATCATGCTATAATGATAGACAAAGAAAGAGAACTATGCTTGGTCCTTGTACTAAAGCATACCACCCACTATTAAACTGTTGGAAATTGCCTGTAACTGCAAGGGGCAATTTGTTTGATAGAAATATTAAAAGACATTAGAAAAAAGAACCAACAGATACCAATTTACACATTTACCTAGAATCTTACTGATGCTTGAATTGTGCATGTCTGGGAAAGCTTGCAAAATTTTACGTCTTTCATCCTTGGCCCATACCATAAAAGCATTCATGGGGCGCTTTATGTGGTTGTTGTTCCTGGATTCAGGGAAATGTCGTGAACCTGCCAAGAAAGGACCAAAGAACAGTTCATTAAACTGACCAGACTTGTGGGAGTTTGTGAATTCTGGAAATTGCAAATGGAGGTCATACATAGTTGTCACATCTGCTGTATACAAAATCTGATTACCTGTCAAATTTAGAGAAGTCATGAGGTTTTGACACCATTAAAAAAATCCTAATTCAGCTACTCAACTACATTTTTTTATTTATTAAAGGAAGCTTGCTTAGATTTTCTCTTCAAAATTCAACACTGGTGAAATTAGTGAGAAAAAGAAAAAATGTCATTACCATCTCCTTCACATGTTAGTAGAGACTCATCCAGTCTGTGAAGAGACGACTCGTCCATCTGTTCTTTTCCAGGTGAAGAATCCAAATTGCTATGATCCTGAAAATATAAGGTTTTCTGCATCTTACCAAGATAAGCAACATTAAAAGTTACTACAGGTAGTCCTTGAATTACAATCATTTGTTAGTGACTGTTCAAAGTTATAACGGCACTGAAAAAAGTGACTTATGACTGTTTTTCACACTGAATGACCACTGCATCCCATAGTTATGTGATCAAAATTCCACTTGGCAACTGGCTCATCTTTATGATAGTCCTGGAGTCATGTGATCACCTTTTAAGCAGTACTGATAAGCAAAATCAATGGGGAAGCCAGAGTCATTTTACAACTATGTTACCAACTGAAACCTGCAGTGATTCACTTAACAACTGTGGCAAGAAAAAATGTAAAATGAGCAAACTCACTTAATAACTGTATCTTTTAGTAATATTGGGCTATACTGTGATAAGTTGAGGACTAATTGTACCAATTATATTTTTCAGAGTATAAGATGCTCTGGAGTATAAGACGCACATTAGTTTTTGGAGAGGAAAATAAGAAGAAAAAAATTCTGCCTCTGCCTACCAGCATCCATGGTATTCAGCTGACACATGATAACAAGGTCAGCCAATGAATAGACATAGCAACTAAATCAACCAACGAGGGCTATTTGGACTCTCAAATTTGCTGAATGAGCAACAAGGAGACAGGAAAGAGCCTGGCTTAGCTGAGAACTGAAAACAAAACTGCTTGTGTTTTGCTTGTATTTATTGTTACCTTGGAAAACCTGCTTTTGGTAATGTAGTGTATATTATTATTATTTTGAATCCTGCTGAATCAGTTACTGTGCTTACTGAATATGATTGCTACTGCAAACTCTGACCAGCCAAATCAGCTTTAGCACTTATTGCAGCCTGATCCAGCACAGCTAATTGGTGGGGTGGATAGGACTGCTGGAATACCCCCAATCAGCTGTTCTAGGCTGTAGGGATTGCCACAGACCATCACTACCTCCATGCCTCATGTTTTTGGCTTCTGGTGGGAGTGGGTGGGACTATATTCGGTGTATAAGACACACGCAAATTTTCACCCTCTTTTTGTGGGGGCGGGGATGGTATGTCTTATACACCAAAAAACACAGTACATATTTCTAGAAGCAATTAACCATCTTAAACCTAGATTTTTAAAATAAATTTTGCTATATGTTACTTATCAAAAGAAAATGCCCTTATATGACCTAAAATATAGTCTGTATAGTCCAAATCTTCTGGACAGTGAACAAAAAAAGAAAGACTACAGGTAACATTATCTGAACAAAAAGAATCTTGGAAATAAGATATTTCATAATTTTTCCTGTTTATAGAAAAAATAAACATTTTTTAGTATATAATTGTTCCTTTTTCTTGTTGAAACTATTTTTTTTCTGTTTATAGAAATAATAGTTTCAACAAGAAAAAGGAACAATTCAGCAAACATTCTGGATAGCTTCTGTAAATACCTTTAAAAAGGAGTCTAAGGAATAAAATGACTTGAATAGCTTTATGGAGTATTGTAATAGAACAAGTATTTTATGTACTTTAAGTTTAGACTTAAAATGTCGGAATATGGAGTTCTCATGTATTAGCTTCTATTTATTATATGCTAATCTCAAACCTCTCCAATTTTTACTCTTAGTACATAATTATTGTGATATCATTGAAAACTCTTCCATTAATCATTCAATTTATCAGGTAATGGGCCTTCTATCAAGAACATAGACCTCTGAAAAATAACAATTTCAAAAAACACCTCAGTCCCATGATGCTATTGTTTCTATCAAAAATGTTTGGGGGAGTAAATCAAACCAAATATAGTCTTGCCAGCTCACCAAATAATTTCTAGAGTTGATTATGTTCTACAATGGATCAGGGATGTGTTGAATAAAAATTGGGAAGTGTATACATTTTATCCAATTATTACATTGTCTGAAATGCTACCCTAACATAAACCGTGTCCAATTAGCTCATTTTTTAGAAAATCTTGAACTGAATCGTTTGAAGGTTTATTCATTACTATTCACATCGCAGACAATGGCTCTCAAAAACCCAGATACCAGGAGTTTTTTTAATTAATGGACTGCTTTCATTAGACCCTGATACATTTTGTTCATTCAAGGCTTTGTGTCCTTTTAAGAAAATCAATATCACTTACCTTAATGTATGGATGATTTGGAGAACCATCTATAGCTCTGCTTTGGTTGTGCAGAAGTTGCTGAGCATCTTGTATTGCTTTAGTTATAGCATCTCCCTCTCCAAGGAAGCCTGATTTTTAAAAAATACAACAGGTGATCAACTGATATTTAATATCTTCATGATGATCACCAGTGCAAAGAAAACTACTAAACAAAGAAATAACACTTGGACTACCAAATCAAGGCTGCAAAAATCCAGACAACCACTATATGGCAGCAAAAGGTTACAGCACGGGTGTTAAACTCGCAGAGTCACATTGCCATCACATGACATTTCACAATGTTTTTCTCATTTGCGGAGCTGGGGTGGGCGTGGCCTACATGTGATGCATTCCACCCAGAATTTTATAGCCTGGTTACAATAGCTCTATCCTGCATTTTCCATAAGCATGCCTCTACCACAGCATTATTTCCCCCTCTATACAGCTTCAAGTTAATTTTCTTTTAGAATCAGTGATTGCCTTTTTTCCTCATCAGAAAAATATTTATGATGCAATCCTGTGATTCCTAGGACAATGATACATGAGTCTGAAGAAAACTTCCACTTACATCACTGGCAAGTAAAATCTTCAAGGAGGTTTTTCCTGAATATCAGAGGTGATGTAGACTACTGGGGCTACTGGCAGTTGTCCATTGTTAGAAAATAGAAAGAAAAATAATTCCAGCCCTGAAACTTTTATAATTGACTTCACTCCATCTGGAGATGACATGAGATTTTCAATACAAAAAAGACTTCAATTCTAATTAACAAAAGCCTGGAGGGCTCAAGAATTATAATTTTTCTTCTTCCGCATGACCAAAATTGCTGTGCTTGTTATCTTGTGCCTTGAGCTATTGTGAAACAGCAGAATATGCATCTCCAACAACAACAAATATACCCCAATGTCTCTAGAAATTTGGCACCAAATTATACTTCAGACTAGATTTACGCTTCTCTTCAAGAGTGCAATCAACGTATGTTCTCTTTTAGAGAGATTAGAGTATTTTAAGTATCTGCTAACTTCATATTAACTCTAGGAGCCTTGAACTTTATAAATTGCATATATTTCAAAATCATGGATATCCCAAAAGATGATCTATTACATTGGATATATTGATTTGGATATATGAGCACTCCTGCAACATGAAAGGAGTTGGTTGATCTACATCAAATTTTTCTCTCCTGATTTGTAGAAATTCTCCAAGTTTTCCCAGACATTTTTGGAGATGTTGAGAACTAAATATTTTGCATGCGCAGTGTATGCTTCTTCCTCTGAATTAGCAATTTCTCTTCTCTCTTCAGCACTGGTGAATCCATAAGATAAAATCCCCAAAGGAATCTTGAGGAAAGCCTTATTCATCCCTTCCTGAATCTAGGGATGTCAAGAATTCTTCCCCAAAGAAAAATCAAGAGCATAAGCCAGGGGTGATATCAACTTTTGTTCACTACCAGTTCACAAAAGTGAGCGTGTATACGCCCACTTCATTCAAACGTGCCACCTCAGCACATGCACAGGACCTTCTGCGCATGCACAAAGCGTCAAAAATGGGATGTGATGACATCTGGGTGGGTGGGCAGAGCCTCCTAGCACCACCGCTACCGGTTCACCTGAACCAGATAGAACCGGCTGACTTGCATCACTGGCATAAGCTAATAAAGCACAGGTATTTTGTAACAAGTTTGCAACGAGAAGTCAATCAAATATCATTTCTTTTTCAGTTTTAAATCAGAGGAACAGACCTACCCAAAGGAAGGCTGGGAGGGCTGGTCTGCAACTCTCGAGAAACACCACTGAGGGACTGACTGCTACTAATCTTTAAACCAGGTGTGCTGGAGGCATTGGGGGGTTCAGAGCCTTTAGACTTTGCTGTTAAATTCAGTGGCTGTGAAGATTCCTGAAAACAAAATAGAGAAGATAGAAACATTTTTCTACAAGATTGGAGACCTAAGGAAAAAGACAATTAAGACGCTTTACCTGGATCTGTAAGTGGCCTGAGCTTGCAGGTCTCTTCAGTGCTGAAGGAGGGGGGCTATGAAGCAGCTGCATTGGATATTCCACTGTAGATTGTAAAGAAACAGAAGAATTGGAGATTGTGTAGAATGTTAAACATAAACTGAGATCCTTATTATGTCAGCAGTGAATAAAGTGAAACTCAACCTGGAATAAAGTAAAAGGGCCAAATTTGTGCATCTGTCCCCAAACATGTAAAAACATGTGCATTACAGCAACGGGTTTGGGGGCACCAGTCATCAATGTAATAAAGTAGTGAACTGTTCTTAGTTCTATGGATCCAGACTATTAGAATGAGAGGGATTTAATTTAGTGATGGCTAACTTTTAATACTAGATTAAAAGGGATCTAAACGCAACTACTATGGTAAGACCAGGTATAACCAAATATAACTCAGCTTTATTTTAGTTAAATTGTATCTTACGGTGAAATACAATACAAAACAGTACAATAATTTTATATATCATATGGTATAGTGGGGGAGAGCAAGTTTGGTGTAGTGGTTAAGATATTGGGCTAGAAAACTGGGAAATTGTGAGTTCTAGTCTGCCTTAAGCATAAAGCCAGCTGGTTGACCTTGGACTAGTCACTTTCCCTCAACCCTAGGAAGAAGGTAATGGCAAATCGTTTTTGAAAAACCTTGCCAAGAGAACTGCTAGACTTGTCCAGGCAGTTTTCTGAGAATTGGACACGATTGAACAATGGGCAAAAAGGAAAAATAACAGGACAGTATCAAAATTCATTACTGTACACTATTTCAAGTTATAATAGCAAAATAGAAATATTATTTTATATTGATTTTAACATACACTAATGAAAGGGGAGACCCACTGATTTCTGTCCATCACTCTTCAATCTAGGTGGAACTCTATTATTGTATAACAACACACAACAAAGCCTGCAACAAGTTCCTTTTACCCCTTCTTATAGCCAATTGAACCAAGCCAGGATTATCTTGAGTTTCTTTTTCTCTCAGTATAAAGTTGCTACATACTTAATGGTGTGTGCACTTCTTCTTCAACATGATCTCCAGACTACTCTATTTCTACTCGGCCAGTAAGAATTGTGTTATTGCCACAAAGAGCATATGTCAAAAGAATCTGAAGCCCTTGTACCATAGTGTTACAGATGCTCCTAAAGAAGGAGCAGTAGAGAAAAGAACGAGCTGATATTTCTTTTATGCCTGCTACACAGTGGCAGAGTATTTTTCACTGAACAGAGTATTCTTCTATTTACCCTTGAGAAGCGCTGAAAGGGGGATGTTAAAACCTGCATGGTTGAACATTTGGCAATACTTTAGGAGACGAAGCTGTTTGAAACAATCATGCTGGTTCTGTATTATGTAACCAAACTCCAGCTATTACATTTGCAGATTGCCTACCTTGATTTTTGTACAAATCCATGCTAATAAAAAGAAAAGGCCATTTTGCTATTTTTTCTCTACCTTTCATTTCCAAGACACATGGAAAGGCCCTATCAATGTTGAAAGGTAAGGTTTGTGTGGAGTGGAAAATCAGTTTTAACCATTAACTACAGTATTCTGACTCCATTTTTACTGACTAAAACATTAGAATATTGATTCAACATAGATTCATGTTGACTCCTGGTTTTCAATGGCTGCAACTAACAGAGGATGCCCTGTCTTCCCATTCCAAGGCCACTGTATAACAGCCTTAGGAGATCCGTATCATATTAATCAGAATTCCAGTTTTCTTGGCCTTTTCATACCTGGCTTGCATGGAATTGGCTGGATAGGAAGTGCCATCTGAGAATCTGAAGTGACAGGAAGAGGGTGGTGGTTGGGAGGAAAGGCTGGAATCATGACATAGGGCATGTTGACCTGCTGAAAAGAGTAAGGGAAGTGGTGGACACAGAAACAGATATAGGGCATATGAAACTGTAACAATGCTACTTGTCCAAACAGCCATTTTTCATATCCACTAGAGCAGTGATGGCGAACCTTTTAGACACCGAGTGATCAAACTGTAAGCATGCCCTATGTCA